AAGGAGTTGCGGGAATTTATTGACAAGAACCTGAAAAGAGGCTTCATAAGAGAATCGAAAGCGGTGGGGGGCAGTCCGGTGTTCTTTGTGAACAAAAAGGACACAAATAAACCCAGGCTCGTTGTGGACTATAGGGCCGTCAATTTGGTGTCGGAACCCGTGACCTTCCCGATGCCCAGGATTAACGACATTTTAACACGGGTGAGGCAAGGGAAAATTTTTACCAAGCTGGACCTCAGGGGAGCATACAATTTGATTAGGATGAGGGAAGGGGACGAATGGAAGACCACAATGTTCACACCCCTAGGGGCCTTTGAGTACCTAGTTATGCCTTTTGGATTACAGTCGGGCTCCGCCTGTTTTCAAGCATTCATGCACCACGTGCTGGGGTCCCTGCTGTACAAGAACTGCGTAGCCTTCTTGGACGACGTCTTAATCTATTCGGACAATGAGGAGCAACATGTCAGGGACGTCAGGGAAGTGCTAAAACGACTGCAGAAGCACCAGTTGTGGGTCAAACTGGAAAAATGTCAGTTTCATGCCAGAGAAGTCGAGTTTCTGGGGTACAGGTTGTCAGACAAAGGCCTAGCGATGGACCCAAGCAAGGTGCAGGCAGTGCTGGAGTGGAAGGCTCCCAAAACCCGGAAGGACGTGCAGAGGTTCCTAGGGTTCAGCAACTTCTACAGGAAGTTCATCAAGAACTCGCCCACTTGACAGCGCCCATCACAGATTGTCTCAGTAGCAAAAGGAAGTTCATCTGGACAGAGGGAGCCCAGCAGTCCTTTGAAAGACTGAAGAAGGCGTTCACATCGGAAGAGCAGCTCCTGCACGTGGATCTGGAGAAACCCATGAGGCTAGAGACCGACGCGTCCGACAGAGCCATTGGGGCGGTTCTTTTGCAGCCAGGGAGGAGCAAGCAGGAATGGAAACCGTGTGCCTTTTTCTCGCGAAAGCTGAGCAAATCGGAGCAAAACTATACTGTGTATGACCGTGAACTGCTTGCGATCTATGCGGCGTTTCGTCGATGGCGCCATCTACTAATAGGGGCGCAGCACAAGATCCAGGTTTGTACAGATCACAAGAACTTGGAATACTGGAGGACCGCACGAGTACTCAACCAGAGACAGATTTGATGGACACAGGAGTTCTCCAAGTTTTCCTTCGAAATCCGATACGTACCAGGGGAGGAAAACGTGAGAGCAGATGCTCTCTCCAGGAAGCCAGAGTACTGGGAAGGAGAGGGGCCGCCGGAGATACGACACGTGATCCCCGAGGACCGGTGGGTGTGTGGGGGAATCTTGGTGGGGAAACGAGAACTGGCCGGACTCACTAGAAACGACGTGTTCGCACAAACTAAAATCCGAGACGGAAGAGAAACCCAGGGAGGGTTTGAGGAGAAGGAAGGGGTGCTGTACTATAAGGGGGCGCTGTATGTACCGGGGGAGACCCTACGGGGGAAGGTACTCAAACAACTCCATGACAACCCCACAGCTGGACACTTTGGACAGCACAAAACCATGATGCTTGTCACCAGGCAGCTCTGGTGGCCCAGGGTGAGGGAGGATGTATGGGAATATGTACGGGGTTGTGACTGCTGCCAAAGGGCAAAGGGGGAGCGGGCTGCCCCCACAGGATTACTGGAACCCTTACCCACGCCGGGAAAACCCTGGGAGGTGGTGTCCATTGATTTTTATGACCGATCTGCCCAAGTCCCGGGGAAAGACAGCAGTCATGGTAGTGGTCGATTTACTGACAAAAATGTGCCATTTTATAGCCTGCTCACATGCGGTTACGGCAGAGGAAACAGCCGGGTTGTTTGTAGATCACATCTTCAGGTTGCATGGGGCTCCCTCGAGGGTTATCTCCGACCGCAGGAAACAATTTACTTCCCGGTTCTGGAGGAAGCTCATGAGCTTGCTACAGGTCGAAGTGGGCTTCTCGACGGCGAGACACCCGGAAACCAACGGGCAAGCAGAAAGAGCGAACAGTATACTCCAGCAATACCTACGCTGTTACGTCAGCGAGAGGCAGAACGATTGGGTGGAGAAACTAGCTCTGGCTGAATTTGCGTACAATAACGCTGAACATGTGTCCACGGGAATGAGCCCGTTCATGGCCAATTATGGGTGTCACCCCAGGGCCTTCCCGGGGAGTGGGGAGGAAAGTTGGAGCGTACCTGCGGCAGAGCAGTTTGTGGAAGAAATGGAGGCCCTGCACCAGCAACTTAAGATGAACTTAGAACGGGCCAAGGAAATTTACAAGAGGCAGGCAGACAAGCACCGTAGGGAAGGGAGACCATACGGGTGGGGGACAGAGTGTAGTTGTCAACCCAAGGGTTACCCTTTAAGGGGGGTGCAGAAGTTGCAGCCCAGGCGGCTGGGACCGTTTGAAGTAACACAGCAGGTGAACCCCGTGGCATTCAAGCTCAAGTAGCCTGACAGCATGAAAATTCACCCGGTGTTCCATAGGTCCCTACTCTCACCGTACAGGGAGGGGCGGGAATTCCCGGGGCGAGAGGGAGAAGTCACCACACACCCGCAGGTAGAAGAGAGGGAGCACCACCACTTGGCCACGAAAATACTTGATTCAAGGTGGCGAGGATGCCAGGTGGAGTACTTGGTAGCTTGGGAGGGAGAACCCGTGTCGGAAAACATGTGGGTTCCCGCGGAGGCAATTGATGACGGGTATCTGGTGGAGGAATTCCACCGCCTGTTCCCGGGCAAACCCAAACCACTGGCGAGATTCTGGGAGGAGCAATTTGGAACCACAGACGATGAAGAGGATTTTGTGGGTTTTCCTGCCTCCGAGGAGGAGGGAGGAGAGGTTTTGGAGGAAGAAGAATCAGACTGGGAGGCCCACCCCGCGGGAAGGGATCAGAACGGGTGGGAAGCGGGCTTCGAATCCTCTGAGGATGACGACAGCTCCTTCCGGGGGTTCCCCGCATCGTCGGCCGGAGAAAGGGACGAAGTTGGATCAACAGCTTGGGCCGGGGGTGGAGGGGGTCCTGGGGGGGAGGTGGATGTCAGGGAACTGACATCGGAGCTAGAGGTGGAGGGAAGGCTCTCTAATGATGCTGGAGAAGGGCCCAGCAGGGAGAGAGGCAGCTCAGCAGATGGGGAAGCAATTCAGTGCAACACCAGGAATAAGGAGGGGCAGATGGGGGAATCGGCGAGAGGGCTCCCAGACTCTTCACTGGACACCAGCGGGGAGAGCACTGGTCCTCCGCTACCCATGCCCTCCCTGCGCAGAAGACTTCTGCGCAGAGAAAGTAGGAGGAGACTGGGTGTCAAACAACTTTTATGTTGGAAAAGGTTTAAGAAACGCCCACTGACGGATTCTGCTAGCGACTGAGGCAGCCACGAATTGAAGGGCTGTCCAGACTGAAAGGTTTAACAAGGCAACAAAGCCAGGAGAGGCGGCAACTTACGCACGAGCAACCCCATACCATTATAGTCTATTTAGAAGTAAGTCTCAGAGTTCAATGGGGCTTCTCCCAGGTAAGTGTTATAAGACTGCAGACTAAGACATTTGTCTGGGTACGTGTGCTTTTATCTTTGTGTTCTCAGTAGTCTGCACTAGCTTTCCCAGCCCCATCACTAGCCTTCCTGAATATTGAATGTGTGTGTGTGTGTGTGTGGGAGAGGGGGCAGAGAGAGAGACAGAGAAATACATGACTTGGCAATTATATAAAAAGCATCTCACACACGTGCAAAATCTCAAGGTTCTGTCATGCTCTCTAGAATAACTCCAAAGCCAGCCAGGGTTAAGATTGTGCCTTCAGCAGGGTAAGTGAGGAACAAGAAAAAAGACTGAACTTGACACGGTGACTAAGGCTGAGGAAGAGGTTCTCAATAGATAACCTTCACAACTAAATTGGAGAGGAGCTACAGTGCGTTCGTGAGGAGGGGTGAAATTCATGAAAGTGGGAAATATTTCAGGGGCAACCAAACTGTTTGAAATGTTCAGTTTTCTCATGGGTGACAGATGCAAAGTAACAATTTCTTTAAAATAAAAACAAAAAAGAAAAGATATTGGTGGTGCAGCTCTTCTCAATAGCCATCAGCTGGCACCTGCCATTTTTGTTTCCCAGAATGCCTCAGACATAACATTATTCTGGACTTTCTGGGAAACAAAAATGGCAGCTGCCCACTGGTGGATACTGAAAGGAGCCCCACCATTTGTGGCATCAACTCTTCAAAGAAACTGGGGAGGGGGGAACTGCTACTGCTAATAATTTCACTCTGCTGGAAAAATCACCGAAACCCTCTTCCATTCACCTTCTGTGCATAGTGTGATGAATTTAGAATAGTGGCAGTATTTTTGCTCGGCCATAAATCAGTCCACAGGTTTACTGATTTTAACTTCCAGGAAAGTTTGGTGTAGCAAGGGCAGGGACTTCAACTAGCAGCTCATCTGCCAGCAGTTGAATCTCCAGCCCTTCTGCTGGTTGATGTGCCTAGGGAGGCTGCCAATATGCCACTCCTTCTGCCCACTGTAGCTAGCATGCCAGTCTCAAGTGACCCTTCTGTGGGGATATCTGAGAAACATTTCACCACCACTCCTTGAATATGGACCCTGTGAGCATGAGGAGCCCACTTCAAAAAAGAAAAGCAATCAAGTGACCACTCTGCCCCCACAAATGTGCTCATCGCTTGGCATCTGAGCATACAGTGCAAAGACCAGCAGCAAAGAAGTCTATATCTGTGGGTATATCTGCATGTGTGAAGACTTCTGCACAATTAAGAATCATACACAACTGGGCCTCCAGACTGTGTGAAAGTCTTCATGCATGTATGTGTGGCTGCTGGGGGCAGAGGAAGCTGGCAGTGTGGAGGGTGGGCACTCGGTGCGCCCTTGCTTCCATCTTGCACGCTGATTCAGTACATCAGCAGCTCTTCTGAAGGGGAATAGAATAGAGCGCTGAGTCTATAACAGGTGAACCAATACCAATAAATATATAATTTGCTATTGAAATTATCTGGTGAAAGCACCAGCTCCTAGCTACCAACCAGGAATCTAGGGAGAATTCCTTCTCAGCCATGCCAACTGGTGACTGACAGCTTGTTCACAGAAAAAGAAAGTGTCTGACAGAAATAGACAAGGAGGTAGGCTGGCAAGAAAGCCATGGCTAGCATCAGGGCTACACCTGAAATTTATAGCCCAGGTGTGTATCAGAAACAAGTTCCTACTCTGGCTGGCATGCATGCCTCTTTATCCTCATAACAGTCCTAGGAGGTGGATCAGGCAATGTGATAATGGCTGGTCCAAGTTCACACTGTGCGGGGGATTGAATTTGGGTCTCCTCAAACTAAATGCAGCACCCGCAGCCACACCATGCTAAATCATTTAGTTTCTTCTCCCCTCAATTCCAATACTTGCTCTCATTCAAATGTTTAGTAAAAAGCCTTCAGATCTGTAGACTAATCTCAAGATTACTGCTGAGGCTGAATTAAAAATATTTCTACATGTTTCAGTGCAAGCATAGATTATTATTTTCCTGGAGAAAACAGAACTCTCCAGTTTATCAGCATTTTGCATTGTGTAGATCAGTACTGTGAACAAGAACCTCTTAAGAGCGAACAGTTGAAGATGCAATTGAAGACAATCTGAGTAACACTAAAAATAAGAACACAAAAGAATTTTGGAAGCCGGCATGAAACCAAGTAAGGAGAGACACTTTGGATAAATATCCAAATTAGGAGGCATTCTGAACTGTGTTTTGGAAGGACACCGTTGTTTAAGACAAGGGGCGGGAAAGATTTTTCAACCTGAGGGCCACATTCGTTTGAGAGCAACTTCCCAGGGGCTTTGTGCGAGCGGAGGGTTGAGCCAGAGGCAACAGTGGATGGAGCAAAGGACTGTGCATTTGTACAGTCGGCGACATGCCTCACCCTCGCTCTCTGTGCTGGCAAGCAAGTGGCATGATCACACTTCAAAGACACATTCCAGCAAGACAAAACACTTGGGAAGGGCATGGAGAGGAGGTGCAGCCTAGGGAGATTCCTGAGGGTTGGGTGAGGGGGCCCACCAGGCCTGAAGCTCCCCCCATCCCCCCGATTTAGGCACTTCCCTGAGAGTAACGGTAGAAAGCATATTTCCAAGGAAAAGTCACTCAAAGCAACGCATTAGCTGCCAACAGAGAGGAATATTGCCTATGAGAATTAGTATCTGAACTCCAGTGTGTAGTTGGTGACAGTATCGCCAAAGAAGCAACTCAGAGGCTTGCCAAGCGAAGAAAAAGGCTTGGGAAGACTTTCTTTATTTTAAGGGATTTGAAATTGAGCCATTTAAGACTGTGGTCCCCCACCCCCTTTATTGATTTTTTTTACCTGGCTGAGAGAATGAGGAAAGCAAGATTATTGCCGTTCATGGACTGTCTTAATTAAATTAAGCCAATCAGCAGACTAAATATCAATGAACCCAAGTTTTAAACCTGGGCAATGCTGGAGTTTTTTGTGCACATGGACTGGTGTCAGTAGTGCACTTGGATAATTTTAGGCTCTGGACTTAATGGAGGATTCCTGTTTTGATGGCTACCACTTTGTTTACTTCAAAAAATGGCAAGCCAGTCCTGCTCATCCATCTGAGTTGGGCTTTGAACCTCTACCTAAAGTCCTGCCCTGATGGCGCCATTGGCTGCTGAGATAAAGGAAACTAGATTTTGGTTTTGTTGTTGTTTTTAAAATTTTGGCTGTGTGGAGAAATACCCCTGGTTTCTCTATTTCTCTTGAGGGCTACATTTCAATTAAAATGATAGCACGACTTTAGGGAGGGGGGCTATGATTCCTCTAATCTTAGTAAAAAAATAAATAAATCAGATATTCAGTTTTACTTTTTTCTGCTTTTGCAAAAAGAAAAATCAAGAACATCTAATGACTGTGCAATGGAAAAGAAATTGCGCCAGCATCCAGACCTGCATGATTTCATTATATATTCTATACACATTTTGTAATTTGCTTCCTTATTGGCATGGGACTTTTTGTTGGCTGAAGAATGTATTGCTTGTGCTATTTAATGTATAGGAGCAAGTCTTTGGAACAACGTCAGGCAACTAATATAATTGTCTGCCAGGGACCCTGCATCTGAGCAATGATATAAGGGGTGGCCCGGGTAACTAGGCAAGTATATTAATTCCAGCACAAATTGTATTGCAGTGCTTTAACTGCTTTCCACAAAGATCGAGACAGCACACGAGACTACAACTGAAGTAAAGTACCTTTGAGTCTCATTGATTTCATGTGTGCTTAAATGTCTCCCCTTGAAAACAACTGAAATTAAAACAGTTTCACTTTGCTGCATTGGGCTCTGCAAGGGAAGAGTCTCATTTGCTTCCAAAATAAAAAAATTAAAAATGAAAGACACAAAACAATAGCAGTCTATTTTCCCTCAGTCTTTTAGGACATCTCATAGGGTTGTCACCTGTCCTGTATAATACAGGATTTTCCTGTATTTCAATGTAAAATGCTATGTCCTGTACTGATAGTCTGTCCTGAATTTCATGTATTCTCTCTCTCTCTCTCTCTCTCTCTCTCTCTCTCTCTCTCTCTCTGCCGAGTTAGGGGTCCTCTCCAAATGCATGGTTTCAATTGAAAGGGTGTGTGTAAGATCAGGTATTTAAGCTCTGGGTAGCAAAACACAGACTAATTTACAGAGAGAGAGAGAGAGAGACTGTAATGGATCTTCCTTTACTCTACACCACATGGTCAAAGGCAGAGGATATTGCAAGTACCAAGCAGGGAGCCAAATATTTACCTGCTCCCCCACCTGATGTTTCAGGACAGTCCCAAGTGTAGCCTAAAAATCCACAAACTGAAGATGACGGTAGTTTTGAGGGGTTTTACTTGTGACTTTTCACTTACACTGAAGCCACACACCATTTTAAGAACTGACATCGTACAAGCTTCATTTAAATACATGTGTTGACTGACAACCACTCTGAGCAAACTGAACATGTTTCAACTATACGTATTCTCCCACACTAGTCATAATTAAACACATGAACAGCAACACATAAATGGCAATACACAAACACTAAAATCTTAGTGGTGTCATCTGAAAAACAGAAACCAAAACTTATTTTAAGTTTGTTTTAAAATATACAGTATTTTTCAAAACAAACTCACCACTTGAGCAGGGAAGGATTCTCAGACTGCGTAATTCTGCTATGTCTCTGCACTGGGAATACGTGACCGAGCCTATCACACCTAATGGAGAGATGTAGCAGAATTACTCACCTGCAATGGAGACCAGCTGGAAGGGTGGTAGCCCAGAGTAGCCACTCAGGCAGAGAGGGAACGGGCAACCTCTTTTGTGGGTGGTCCCTTTGGACTCCAAGTAGTCTTTAATCGTGTAATATTAAAGGCATGCCATTGGACCAGATCACATCATAGAAAAACTCCTGCAACTAATGACAAGAAGACCTGCCTGACCTCTACTTCCTGGAAGTCATCCTCTTCTTCCACTTCGTAGGAGAGGGTATGGATCTTGATCTCATCCGTGGAGAGGCTAACAAATTTGCCATCAGAGTATCCCAGGCTGTCTTTGGTGGGTGACCTGTCTTCAATGAAGGTGGTTTCACAGCACTCCGCACTCACACCCTCTCCCCACGACCGCAGCATGCTTTCCGAATAGAGGATGATATTCGGGTGGTAGCGGGACTCCACTGTCTGTGGTAGTGTATTGGGGTCAAGGAGTTGTTGCACTGGGTCATTCCGTGGGTAGCCTGGAGAGTAGAGAGTACCAATCTGCCGACTCTGATACTGGGGGGTGGGGTACACAGACACCAAACCTTCCCTGCCCTCAGCCATCAAGTTTCTGGTGTTAATCAGCCCATTCCTCTTCTTGGCATCAGCTGCTTTGGTGTGCTTAAGGACACTCTTCTGCTCAGCCAAGCCATCCATCCTGTTTTCCTTTTCCTCTACCATCTCACTGAAGTGGAATCTTTGTGGACGATTATCACATGGGATGAAGAGATCCTATATCCTGAGGCATGAGAAAGGGAATAAACCACAAATTAGCACAAAAGCCCCATTCATCCCTAGGCCTTACAAATCACTTTTCCTGGGCAATTTGCTTCTTGTGTGGAAATGATAGGGCTAAAAATTATTTCACCACAGAGGATTCTCACGGCATTGAAAAGATACTGTAGTAAAAGGGCTAAGAGACAGAGCTGTTAACCATCACCATCACTATATTTGTATGCCATCTATTCCATACATGCTCAAGGAGGCTTACAACAGGAAAAGGTTTACATAATTATCACTAAATGGACTTAGGTAAGTTAGTGTTCACTCAAACTCAGCACCTGCTCCCCCTTCTGCAAGATGACAATATGGTCTAGACCAGGGGTCACCAACCTAAGGCCCAGGGGCCGGAAGCAGCCCACGGAGGTCGACTGACAGGCCCACGAGCCGCCCCCCAACTGAGCTGCCCACTCACATGCTGCGCTAAACCGGCAGAGCGCGGCGGGGCAGGGGACTTGCTTCCATGGTGCCAGAAATCGTGTCTGCGCATGCGCAGATGCTGAAAATCGCGAGTGAGCGTGCGATCCGGCCCACGGAGGGATCTCTGTGGGACCGATCCAGCCCAGGCAAGATAAACCTTGCTGACCCCTGGTCTAGACCCCCGTTTCTCAAACTATCTGATGTGGTGGACTAGCAATTCCGCCAACGCCAATGTGCCAGGGACCAGTACCATATGAGGTCCCTGAAGCCCCCCCCCCCCCCAACCTTGGGTGTCCCTGAGGAATGACAACCAATGGCCAGTGGACCATTACCCAATTCATGAACCACCACTTTGAGTAGTCCTGGTCAAGAGGGACTGCCGTTTTACCCCCACCACGTCTCCTATGTTCTAACACCCAATTTCATTTGATTGACAAATGTTTACACACTTGTATTAGCATGGGAAGGGAAAGTCAAGCCAGAATTGCAAAAACTATTTTTAGCAGAACCTTTTCATGTTGTATTTGGCACTACAATGGCATAACCTGCTCTGAACATAAAACGAATGCAGATTTATCAGGCAAATCAGGGCTGCATTTCACACAGGAATTAATCTTAATGCTTAAAATCTCCTTTCACAAGCAAGATAAAAAAGGGATTCTCAGGAACATTACAGAGTCCTGAAATACAAAGGTTTTAACCATGTATGTTTGACATTAATTTCTGCAGCGACAGTATTTTTCACCCTTCTCTAAATGTGCAGGGTGGGTGGGAATACACTCCTATAAAGATTTTTATACCATGTCTGGTAATGTGTCCCAATGACATATGAGGCCAAAAATATTCTGTAGAACTTGCTACTCTTATCACAGTGCTGCAGTGAAGGGTGAAGTGGCAACCTCAAGCTTCTCCCTGCTGCACAAACCACCTATGGCCCTTCCTGGGGTGGGATTGCTGTACTTTAGCTATTCATTCACTTGTGAGATTTGCACCCCGCCCTCCATCGCAAGACACTAGGAAGGGTAACAACAAACATACAAATCCACAAACAAAGTCCTGTACCCACTCATCAAATCAGATAAAATGTCAACTGTCTGTCGGCTTTTCTTTTTACCACAGAGACCACCTCCACAGCATGCAAAACATCTGAAGCAAGAGACAGATCTGCAACTGGCACCTAAAGATAGCGCTGGCACTGGGACATGATTCTGGCCTACTCAGAACCAGTCCCTTTATATGACCCAGCTTCACTAGTCCTCCATCATATAAAGAGGTTGCATCTCCCTTCCAATACACAAACTGGTATTTTGACAGCTCCCATCTCCTTCCTTTTGCTATCTTGCTTGCTTCTTCCTCCAGCCCCGGGCATTTTCTGTGCTATGTGCAACCTCAGTGAGTCACCTGTCCATCAGAGCCCAAGCTGCCAATATTGCTTTGTCCCTTATGCCCCTCCCCCGTGACCATCCAAGATGATGCTTTGCTTGAAGAGAACCCTAGGTTTGTGCCATGAACTCCTAGGCTAATCTCACTTTCTAAAATTATTCAGTTGCTTTCTTGAAGCACCATTCTGCTTTCCACCGCTGCCCTCTTGCCTCTTATCCTTAAAAAACTTCAAAAAAAAGTGGTTGTTGGGGTTCCTACATGTCTATGCACCAGACCCAAAGGTGCAAAATGAACACTCAAGCCCTTCAAGGTCCTATTAAGCAGGATTGCTTCCAAATGACTCTTAAGGACCATCTGCTTTTGGAGTTCCCTGATAACACTGAGGAACACTAGGTAAAGGGACCCCTGGCTGTTAGGTCCAGTTGCAGATGACTCTGGGGTTGTGGCGCTCATCTCACTTTATTGGCCGAGGGACCCGCCGTACAGCTTCCGGGTCATGTGGCCAGCAGGACTAAGCCGCTTCTGGCGAACCAGAGCAGTGCACGGAAACGCCATTTACCTTCCCACCAGAGTGGTACCTATTTATCTACTTGCACTTTGATGTGCTTTCAAACTGCTCGGTGGGCAGGAGCAGGGACCGAGCAACGGGAGCTCACCAAGCTAGAAACATCTATTATTGCAGCCTGTGAGCAAACTATTGGATACCAAACCAAGAAACACCAGGACTGGTTTGATGAGAATGACAGTGGGATTGAATGAATGACTGACAAGAAAAGGAAGGCATTTCAGATCTGGAAAAGAGATAGAAACTGCGCCACTAAGAAAAATATCTATGCCAACGCTAAGGCTGAGGTTCAAAGAAGAACCAGAGAATAAAAAATGTTGGATAAAAAATGCTCAAGAGATCCAGCACTGAGCCCACATTCATGATGTACAGAGTTTCTTTAAAGCCACAAAGACCATCTATGGGCCATTAAATTATGGTATAAGCTTCCTATGCTCTACAGATGGTACCACATTTCTAAAAGATAAAGAAGCTATTGAACTGCACTGGAAAGAACATTACCAGCGTCTCCTTAACCGCAACTCCCCCGTAGCTGCTGAGGTGTTCTCACAAATTCTGCAAAAACAAATTAGAGATGAGCTTGCAGTATCTCCAAATCTGGGAGAGTTGTGTACAGCTATTAACCAAATGAAAAACAACAAAGCCAGAGACCTGGTGAAATACCTGCCAAAGTCTTCAAAGTGGGTGGAATTTAACTTACACAACAACTTCACAATCCCATCAAAAAAATCTTGGAGACAGAAATCCTAGCAGACTTTAGGGGTGTCAAAATTATCAATCTTTTTAAAAAAGATGATCAAGCAGGTTACGGAAACTATCAAGGCATCTCTTTATTAGCTGAGGCTCGTAAAATTCTTATAAAGATCTTAGCAAACCGTCTCTTAACAATATCCAAGGCTACCCTTCCTGAATCCCAAAATGGTTTTGACCTTATAGGGGAACAGTGGACATGATTTTCACCGCGCGACAGCTTCAAGCAAAATGCAGAGAGCAAAACCAAGCCTTGTATATGGTGTTTATTGACCTGACTTGACACTATAAATCGTAATGCCCTGTGGAATGCCCTTCTGAAAATTGGCTGCCCAGATAAACTTGTGAACATCCTTCGGCTCCTCCATGATAATATGACAGCAATAATTGCAGATAACAGTGGCTCTCAAAGTGACCATTCACAGTGGAATCAGGTGTTAAACAGGGTTGTGTTATTGCCTCTATTTTTTTCATTGCCATGATCCTACACTTTGACGAAGGGAAACTCCCCACCAGAGTAGAAATCATATCTCGAACAGATGAAAAGCTCTTTAATCCAAGCAGGCTGAAAGCAAAGAATAAGGTTACCATAACTTCTGTCATAGAGCTTCAATATGCTGAGGAAAATGTAGTGTGCGCACACTCAGAGGGTGACCTCCAAACCATCCTAAATATCTTCGCAGATGCTTACAGAAAAAAATGCCTATTGCTCAATATCCAAAAAACCTAAGTGCTGTACCAACAAGCACAAAAGAACCCCTCTGCAGTGCCACAAATCCAACTCGATGGTGTAATGTTAGAAAGTGCTGATCACTTCTCCTACCTGGGCAGTTATCTTTCCACAAGGGGCTACATTGATGCTGAAATCCAGCATCGCCTGAGCTCTATGAATGCAGCCCATCCCAACTGAAGTGCAGAGTATTTGAGGATTGGAACATTTGCAGGGAAACCAAAATGCTTGTTTACAAAGTTATTGTACTGCCAACCTTACTGTCTGCTTGTGAAACATGGACCACTTATAAATGTCATCTCCAATTCCTCGAAAGATTCCATCAACAGTGTCTCTGAATATTTTTTTTACTCACTCACTCGAGAAGGCAGGCGAACTAATATCAGTGTATTGGAAGAAGCAAAGATCACCAGTGTTAAAGCAATGGTTCTTGAACATCAACTTCGCTGGACCGGTCATGTTGTTTGGATGCCTGATTTTTGTTTTTGAAGGCAACTCATAGAATCATAGAATCATAGAGTTGGAAGAGACCACAAGGGCCATCGAGTCCAACCCCCTGCCAAGCAGGAAACACCATCAGAGCACTCCTGACATATGGTTGTCAAGCCTCTGCTTAAAGACCTCCAAAGAAGGAGACTCCACCACACTCCTTGGCAGCAAATTCCACTGTCCAACAGCTCTTACTGTCAGGAAGTTCTTCCTAATGTTTAGGTGGAATCTTCTTTCTTGTAGTTTGGATCCATTGCTCCGTGTCCGCTTCTCTGGAGCAGCAGAAAACAACCTTTCTCCCTCCTCTATGTGACATCACAATCTATTCCAAACTTAAAAATGGAAAGTGTAATGCTGATGGTCAACAAAAGAGGTTTAAAGACTCTCTCAAGGCAAATCTAAAAAAATGTAGTATAAACACTGACAATTGGGAAACAGTGGCCTGTGAGCGCTCCAACTGGAGAACAGCCTTTACCAAAGGTGTCATGGACTCTGAAGACGCTTGAACTCAGGATGAAAGGGAGAAACATGCTAAGAGGAAGGCACGCTTGGCAAACCCTCACCGTGATCAACTCCAACCCGGAAACCTATGTCCCCATTGTGGAAGGTCATGTGGATCCAGAATTGGCTCCACAGTCACTTACAGACTCACTGTTAAGACTGTGTTTATGGAAGAAAATCTTACTTGGCTACGAGTGATCGCTAAAGAAGAAGAAGCTGTGTTTGAGGGCAGCTGAAATTTCTGTTTCTTCTCCCAAGGCAAGCCCAAGTACCCTGCACTGGAGTAATTCGACCACAGTCCAATTGTGCACCAATGACCCCTCTCTGTTTTATTTATTTTTTGATGGGTTTTAACTTGTGAGTTAGCTGCCACAACAAGAACCTTTTGGCTGAGTAGCACAGTGTAAACAAAGTACAACAAATATACCAAAGCAAATTCTAATGTATGATAATTCCTGGTTTTAGGTTTTAAAATTATCTTCTGAATTAATTTTTTATTCCTCCTTGAGATAAGCATATGAGAACATAGCATCTAATTATAATATGTAAATGACAATCTGTCTTGTAGTCACACTTTACTACATTAATTTAAGAAGCTAAGTTTGCAAATTGCCATTGAATTCTAAACTGGTTTCTGAACCTGCAGACATGACCAAAAACAGTGCAGACGAACACAGCTACCACTAGTCAGTCACATGCATTATGCTCCTCCTATCAAAGATAGTGAGGGTGACTGGCTGCAACATTGGTTACCCCACTGATTGCCAGGGTTGATCTGGCTGACTTGCCAGGAGTCCCCTGACTCCCTCACCACTCAGTGTGCTCCTCCTCTCCCAAAGCAGTGAGCTCAGTGGAAGAGGACGGATATCCCAAATGGAGAGGTAAGGATTCTGCTGCATCATCTAGTTCATCTAGTCCAGGATCCCGCTTCCGAAAACGTGGCAACCCTAAATTGTTCACACCCAGCTATCGGCATGCACCGTGCGCTTTGAGACTGCAATGCAAAAGCTGGTTTGCCTGTTAACCTTCAGAGTGAGGAAACACGTACTTGTTTTGCCTGTAGAAGGGAACAAACTCTGTTGCACCACCAGAGATACAAGAAGACCTAACCCATTCATGTCTTAAGTAGCAGAATAGGAACCATTCATACTTCGTTTACCAGGGTATATCAGCTATTTTCTCTTCATTAGCTTGTTTTTTTTAAGCTAGGTGCCATATCACAAGAAGAGGTTTCTCACTTGCTGTTCAAAACATGTGACAATTTAAACCAATCTTGGGAGCATCTCATTCCTGATCTCTTTATTGGCCTCTGGTGGAAGATTTACAGAGGAGTAGCACAGTTAGCCTGCTGCAGCAAACAGGACAGAGCCTTGCGTCATAAGCTTTGTGGACTACAGGCACTTCAGCAGATGCATGAAGCTATGGCCAGAGGGCAATGAAATGCAGTCAAGTACAGACAGTGATATTTATGTAATTAACAGTACGTAATTTGCAAACTGTTGTTGATATCACAGATAGTCTGACATTGGTAAACCAATGTAAATCCTTTGCTGGATATCCCCTGAAATCTTGATGGATAGTATTGCAACTCCACAGTTTCTGCCAACGTTTAAGCTTCCACAGGATTCTAAAACAAGTAAAGCAAGGTCTGAAATACATGCATTTTCCTCATTAGCAGAGTTATGTGTGAATCTACTCTGTCACCTTCTGCCCTGAGAAACAGACTACTGAGAGTTAACGCTGATGCTCATGCTCAGCGCCACACGGCTCTCCCCATATGGCAAACAGGTTGGGCGAAACGTTCACCATGAGCAGAAGCTGCAGTTTTGCATGTTTCCACAGACAGACTCACTCAAACTCTGTGGGCACAAAATCAAGCTCTTGTGCTTCATGTTAATTAAATCTATATTTAAAAAAACAGCCTTTGCCTCTGTTTGCAATCATTAATGCATTAGAATGCTGTTTGCTACAAAAGCACACAATAAAATAAGGTAATGGATTTATCTAATGCAACACTCCTGGAGAACGGTCACTCAAGGGGAATTCCTCACCTCCTCCACACTGCAAGCTCCTGCATGCTCCCCAAAAACAACACCTTTCTCTGGGTGGGGAGCTCAGGAAAGGTCTGGAATGCCTCTCTGTGCATCTGCTTGCTTGGTTTTCCCATCCCACCCCTTTCCTAACTCTTAGGAGAGGCTCTTGGGTGCAGGGAGAGAGACTGCAGTGGAGAATTACCGTATTTTTTGCACCACAACACTCACTTTTTTCCTCCTAGAAAGTAAGGGGAAATGTCTGTGCGTGTTATGGAGCGAATGCCTACGGGTGGCGGGGGGATCTGCTGCAGTCGTGAGCAGAGGATCCATGGTTCCCCTTCCTTCCCTCCTCCGTGGCTCGCTTTGAAACAGCAAAGCGGGAGAAGAGCCGCTGAGTGGGGAGGAGAGAGGGACAGAGAGCCTGCTTGCTTTAAAGGAGCAAAGCGGGAGAGGAGATGAGCCGCTTACACGAGTGTAAGCGGCTCCTGTCCGGTTGGCTCCTTTAAAGCAAGCAGGCTCTCTGTCCCTCTCTCCTCCCCACTCAGCTGGCTAAATAGCAGCAAAGTTTTTCAGTGAGCCGGGGAGGAGGGAGAGAAGCAGAGCCTGCTTGCTTCTCCTCTTATATCCCTCTTCTGCATTATTAGCAGCATCCTTCTCCACCCACCCCACGTGTGTTCCTTGTCCCTTGAGTGCTTTTCCTTCCCTCCCCACTTAAAATGTGGTTTCAAAGCATGGATCCACATGGATCCTCAGGATTTTTGCACTGGGTCACCCCAAATTCACCATCAGATCACATGTCTGTGGCCACAGCATGAACCACAAAAATCATACATCCACTGTTTCATTTAGAATATTTTTTTTCTTGTTTTCCTCCTCTAAAAACTATGTGCGTGTTATGGTCGGGTGCGTGTTATAGAGCGAAAAATACGGGTATATTTGTGTGACTCTACTTGTCCTCACACAGCCCTGGTTACTTGCAACCTATTAATAAGCATTTATACAACACTTTTTTTTTAGCTCTCAAAAAGTAATTCACAGCAATCCTTACCCTTAGCCCTTATCATCACCACTGAGCTAGGGCTGGGGAGCAGAGGCTGAGAGGATTTGCCAAAGGGTGTCCAGCACGATTATGGCAGAGGCAAGATTTGAAGGGGCGCTTTCTGATTTGCTGCCATGCTATAAGGGCTTCCGCCTGCATTGCAAATGCAAAGGAAACCTACTCTTTATGGCTTCGCAGCTCCTTGCCATGGCCTCAGCTGGTGTTTAAGGGGAGGAAAGAGATCACCAGGAGGCATTATGACCCCAAATATGCCGCCTAAGAAGCAATGCGCTTGATCAAGCTACTATCTGGATAGAAAGTGTCCTTGCCCTGAAGCAACTGAAGATGCCCACTTTTATCACAAATTAAAGATTGATAAAACTAATATGGCATTTGTGATGATAAATAGTTCCTATCCTTCCTATCCATATAGGTTTATTATTACCTCGCTCTGAAGGTGGTGGCGGTGAAAGGCTAGATGTGTAGTGAACTCTGCAAAGGTCAGTCTCAATCGATTTGAGGTTTGCTCAGACTTAAACCTTAAACTTCATTGTATTCTTGCTTGCTCATTGCAGACCTCCAGTTTTTCTGACATTATGGACTCCTGTGTGTTGCAGCAGAAATGGCTTCCGAATTATATAGAACATTTGTTTGGAAAATTAATAAGAATTAAACTGAGAAGTGCACTTTGGCATCACGTGGATTATTTCTGCTTCAGCAGAATGTGCTTTAGTGACAAACAGTGACGGCATGGGGGTATACAGCCCCCCCCCAAAGGTGCCTGCATCCAGTACTGAATGGATGTTATTGCTCAATGTGTCTGCACAAAAAGAACAACAGCTAATTGAATTGTCATGTGACAGGACCCTTGAAGATAATTTTTTGGAAGTTAGGCTATTCAAATTTTGGCTTCATGCCATTAAAATTACTCTAGTATTATCCTGAGCTTGCTGATGAATCAATATAAGCTCAGGTGCAGCGGTGAAACTACTGCTAGGTTTTATTTCACCCAGGTCAAAAACCCAGATTGGCACTCCCCCCCCCCCGCCCCCGTGCATTTCTGTACATACACAGGCTGGGAGCCTCAGTGACGCCCCTGTGGTTAGCCCCCACCCCCCCAGCTGTAGCTCTGCCTGAGAGTTTTTTCAAAAACCTGTCTCTGAGACAGGTTTTTTAGCAATGTATTAATAATGTGGGGCTGCCATACATCTGGATTTTGCCAGACATTACCAGGATTACAAAGGTGGAATTGACATCCGGGGGGGGGGATTTCTGAAGTGTGGCCCTTTGTCCTGGATCTTAGGCAAGTCAATTGGAAAACTGCATTTTTTTGGCATTATTGTAAAAACAACGCATCTCAACAATTTTTGGGGTGTCCTGGTTTTTACCTTTTGAAATATGGCAACCCTACAATAATGATCTGAGACTATGTGTAACAATCATCACACCCCACATTGACCTACTTTTGGGAAAATGCAAACTCTGACATCCCACTGATACTTGCCAAAATGGGCTTCATCCTGAATAAAACTACTAAAATTATTCAGGTTGTTATATTGAACACTGCTTGTGTAACCTGTATGTATTCAGGAAAAGTATTTATAACCTTATGAAGCAATATCTTGCATTCAGATAATTGGTGTTCTTCCATTTCCATTAAGAAAAACTGTGAATAACTTTTGTAAATACTATAAATATTTCAACAAATTCCACATTAACAGGAGCATTATGTAAAAATTTTACTTGGTTGTCTCAAGAATCTCAAGAATTAGTTATAAAAAATAGGCAAACCTACAGTGAAAATGCATGAAACCGACAGTGGCTGGAGACCTAAGGTCCAGAATTCACGTGACAATAAATCAGTGTCACTATATCAGGTAAATTTGGGGTTCTGGGTTACCATGCTAGAACAGGTGTGAACCACAGTTTGGTCAGTGTCACTGAGTCTTTTTTCAGTCAAGACATTTTGGCATCTATTTATTTCTCCATTTCCTTCTCTGCACTTTCAGTGTAGATGCATTAAAGTGCAGAAGAAAGAGTTACAATTTGACATTTACGGTATCACCATTTGTCCTGGAAATACAGTTTAGAAGCTTTTCTGAATTACTGTCGCTGTGGTTATGGGGACCACCTGAAGGAACGCCATAGAGCACTGGTGGCCCGTGGACCACAGCGGAAGAATTACTGCAGTAATGCATTGGATCCATTTTTAATTGGAAATAAACAGCAGTTTCACCCACACAATCCTATAGACCTCTACTTACTTCCAGGTTCCATTGAATTTTGTGGGACTTCCAAAATTCAGTGGAGCTTACAAATAGCTGCACTTTTACGTGAGGGGAGAGGGACTTTCTGCTGGCCATCTCAGGCAATGGCTCTTTCCACCTGCCTTGCGCCCCCTCCAGGCCTGGGAGTCTTCCTCAGACCACGACTTTGAGAACAGCAGGCAGGCGCAGCTGGGAAGAGAGGAGTTCAGGGATATATTTTTTTAATTTTAAGAATAATTTGTGTGTCCTTGTTTCTCAATTTCATCACTTTATCCAAGCAGAGTCTATGTCTGTAAGCAGTCCATTCATAAATTGCAAGTTCATATTATCAATCCACTGATTAAAGGAGATTATGCCTTTAACTAAAATTTTCAGAAAAAGAATATTCTGCTGTACTATATACCTACTGTATGGAACTTAACCACTGGACAACGAAAATGGATTTTACACGCTCTAATGGTAGCCAAGAAATTTATATTGATGAACTGGAAGAATAAATACATGATCTCCTTTATTGATTATAGATTAGTAATTATTGTAATTGATAAGTGTAAACAAATTAATTATTATTTGCTGATGTTTAATTTTACTGTTTACTATTAGATTCTAATGGATTATTGAATATTGCTTTATTTGATATAAGTTGTTTATTTTTAAATTGTTGTGACTGTTTTATATTGGATCAGATTGTTGCTATTAATGTTTGATGTTTTATTATGTTTTTACTGTATATGAGTTGGAAGCCAGAGTGGCTGGGGCAACCCAGCCAGAAGGGTGTGGTACTTATTATTATTATTATTATTATTATTGCTGCTCTAATAAGTTTCAACCTGGGAGTAAGGCCCACTGAATTCATTGGGACTTACTTCAGAGTAGACTTGCATAAGAATGTGGTGTTCGTCGTTTTCACAGAAGTTTCTTCTGCATTCTAAGCCCAAGGGACTTCCTTTAGCATCTCCCCATAAATCTTCCCCCTTCGGGAAGGAAGCAGAGAGCAGTTCCCGAGCACGTCCCTTGGGGAGAAATCCCTGGAAACGGTGGCGGAGCTGAGCGCGGGCGACGGGCAGTTCTCCGCCCGAGGCAGCCGGCCAGTGGCAGCCTCTCTTCCGCGGAGGCGCCTCTCTGCCGGCCGGACACCCGGGGACGCGTCCGGCGATGGGGCTCCCGACGCGCCCGTGCAGGAGGCTCTTATCTCGGGGTGGCGGGTTCGAGCCCCAGGCGGAGCGTTGCAGGGGGCTGGACTAGATGACCCTGGCCAGCCCAGATTCACAGGTGGGGAATTGCCGGACTGGATTTGTCCCAAGGGACCCCTTCTCGGCGTCTCCCAGGGCAGCAATGCCCAACGCGGCTCGGGGGAGCTCGGCTCGCGAAACCGCGCGGAGGCCGGGCGAGCGCGAGGGCGCGCACATGCCGAAAGACCGGGGCTGCCGACTTCGCGCTGCCGTCGGAGGACCCGGCGCCCGACTCAGCCTGCGCTCCCGCGGGCAGCAGCCGGAGCCCTTCCGTCGAGGGTCCTTCCCCGCAGCGCTGCGCCACTTCGGAGCCGCGGGAGAAGGGGAAGGCGTCGCCCCCCCCCCCCCGCGAGGCTTCGGGGCAGAGGCGGGACGGACGCGGGCTCCATCTCCCCCCGTCTTCCCTCCCGGGACTTACCTCCGGGCCAAGCGGCGGCCGCAAGGTGACCTCCGTCCAGGCTGCGGCTTGCGGGACCGGCGCTCCGCCGGCGGCGGCGGCGGCGGCGGCGGCGGCCTCACCCTGCGGCGGCTCCGGGCAGGGCAGCCCCGCGGCGGATCGCGAGCAGCCCGCGGGGAAAGAGTCGGCGCGGCAGGTGGAGCTGCCGCATGTCACGAAGGCTGCAAGCCGGGGCGCAGCGCCGCCGCCCGGGGAGAGCCGACAGCGCTGCCGCATCTGGGGCTTGACGGGAGGAATTTACAGCCCTGCACCGAGACGCGGTTGGGCGAGGGGGGGGCGCGCGAAGATCCCCCCGGGTCCTAGAGGGAGCTCGGGGCGGGGCAGGCGGCAGCCAGGCAGGAGGCGGGAAGCGGCGCGAAACGTCGGCGCCAACCCGCGGGACGCGGGCGATGCCCAGCGCCGGAGAAGGGAAGGCGAGCCAAGGTGGTCGTCAGGCGCCCAGCCAGCCCAGCCAAGCCTTCCACGGCACCAGACCAACAACATCCCAGCTGCCTGTGAAACAGGCAAATCGCATTACTGCAGGAGTGAGCAGCAGCCGGCTAGAGAGCAAAGGCAAGCTGAGCCCCAAAGTGAAAGGCCTTCTGAAAAAGAAAGATCACCTTCTGATGCTGAAAAGGGCAGGAGGGGAAAGCTAAAGGAACCTCTTTGGGGAGAGAGTAGGCACAGAGAAGACCCTGCTCCTTCCAGGCCAAACTATGCTGGAATGTTCTGCTCATTGGCCAGAATGCTGGGATGAAAATATTGTTGCAAAGGGCCCCAGTCTCCCAATGGTGCAAGACTCCAGGGGTTCCAGGTGCTTAGCCAGAGTTTGGTTCTCCAGAAGAAGGTTGCCTGGTCAGTTCAACAACTGAATCCTCCATGAGATTTTAACCCTTGCTGGATCCAGGACCCCAAGGGACTCAGGCATCATACAAGCTAACCCCCACCCACTCACAAACATATAAATTGGGGGCCAGGGGTCCGGATTGGCCCTGATTCAGGCAAGTTCCTCCCTGCTTCCTTGGCCACCACTCTTCAGTAAGGATACCTCTCAGGAAATAAAAGAGACCTGTCTCTTAAACAACCCACTGGACAGGATCCCCAAGGACGTCCTCTATGGGGAGCTGGCCTCCAGCACCAGGACAATTGGCAGATCAACTCTGTGTTAACAAAAATGTCCGCAAATGTGACATGAAGGCCGGCAACATCAACATCACTGTGTGGGAATCCTTTGCAGACGACCGTGGTACCAGTCAAGTTCATAGCAGTGATGGGGGGGGGGGACGACCACTGGGAGGAGTGCAAAGCAAAGAACTGCTGTGGTGCATCTGCAGCAGCACAACTGGACGCCTTAATCTGCCCCAGCTGCAACAAAACATATCTGTCCTGTATCAGTCTCTACAGCCACAACAGATGCTGTAACCTTCCAACTGCTTGATCTGACCCCCAAAGGCACACTTCTCCATTGTTTCCTGGGACAGAGGGAAGCCAGCCATTTTGGTCTCTGGTAGGGATGAAGGGGCCTCCACTGTAGGCAACTCTGCTGGGCTTTGGAACAAGGATTTATTCTCTGTCTTGTCCACTCTTCTCCAGGGCGTGTCTGCAAGAGAGGCTGGGAGCCCTGAAGACATCCAGGGACAATGATTTCTGAAACAGCTCACAGCTTCCCACAAGCCCCCGCCACCCCTAGAGCAGCTTCCTGTCCTGATGGTTTGCTACTGGTGTGCGCTTGCCCTCTCTGCTGGTCACTGTCACCTTTGTGAAACAGCGTGAGCTGAAGCCTCCGTCCAACCCATTTTGGGCAGGACTAGGAGGAGGGAAGGAAGGCACTTTGTCCCGAAAACCAGACCTGTACAAACAATGGCATTAAGGCCATTGGTTTATGTTCGGTTTTTGAAATTCCTGCATTCCAGCACTTTTTAGTTCACATAATAGCCTTAAACGAGAGAGAGCTAGAAACTTGACATTCACTTTCCATCCTCTTTATTTAAAGTGGGTCTATATGGTCTGGTTCACATTTTTTAATATCTAGAAATATCCTATGTAAGGGATTTCAATGATAAAAACATTAGAAAAGCTTATATTTGCTAGTGAAAGGTTCTCTGCATAAAGCGCTTATCATTCCAAGGCCACAATCCTGCGCAGAGTTAAACACCCAGACTACAATCCTGTGTGCACTTCTCTGGAAATAAGTCCCATTGAATTTGAGTGGGGATTATTTCTGATTGAACACGTTTAGGATTGCTCTGCACAGGACACTGAAATCCATTGTTATGACACAGATCTTTGGGTAGAAGCATGGAGGACCTTACATACTGTTGACGCGTATTTGTGACTTTCCTTTTGAATCAGAGCCATTTAACCATTATAAATGCAAATGTGTATGCTTCTATTTTTCAAATACTTCACTTCTCAGATGTATGTCTGAGCACAATTCCCCTCCTTTAAGCACGTATTGGAAGGAGAGTTGGTGGTGGTCCTGAGGGGCACACACCTCGCGTGCATCTGATTCTCCTCAGCGCTGCCTGCCTCTGCTTCCTGTCCTTTTGCTCATCTGCACCACAGACAAGGCAAAGTGTGAGGCCAAGGCAGCCAGAGGGTTGCCCAACATCACATTTCACCCCTATTTTTAGAGAAATTTTAAACACATTTCTGGTTTAGTGCTAAAGTGTCAGCTCAGAAGTGTAAGTGCCATCATCCTCCCATTTTAGAAAAGAGCTAGAATGGCCAAACTCATTTGACTTATGTTCAGAATACTGATTCCCCAGTCCTGCAATCATGTTAGTTGCTCTTTGAGATGCTTTAGCTCTAACCTGACTTTCCTCTTCAACATTGAATACACAATGACAGATGAGACTTGCCTTGCGCCTGTTAAGAAGACTTAAGCGGATGCTTCCAAAAACTGTATTTTCTCCTTCTTTCATCACATTATCGGCTCAAAATTATGAAACTGCTTCAGTCTGCACATTTAACACTTCACATAAATTACTTGTTTTTATGTGCACAATCAAGACTGCAATGTGACCAGGTGTACATTTACTTTGCTTGTGTGAACAGAAAATTCACATGCATTGTTACATATGCAAGTTGGGTCTGCTTCACATCACTGAGAGCAGATTCCTTCCCTTTAATCATAGCTACAAGGCTGAAGTTGATTCTCAGTTCCCATTTCTTCTGATTCAATGCAGCGTTGCTTAAGTACCCTGAACAAAGGTTGCATGAACACACAGACACACACTGCTCCCCAAAGTAAGTTTCATTGTCGCAATGAAGTACATACAACCTTCCTTGTTCACTTTTTGTACCCCTTACATAGCCATTCTTATAACATTGGCTGTTTGCTGTAATATGTGATTCCCAGCAGCTTTGGGTAAAGTAAATAGATAAATTAAAATTCAAGATGATGAAAGGAAGTGATATGGTAGCTTTCCATGTTAGGTTTCGCTCTTGCTTTATAATATGTGTGTGAAGTGCATTTCCCCCCAATTATCATTCCCATATTCATAAAGTTATGGAATGCATCCTGTTCCTTAGAGGCCTGTCTCCTCAGTCACTTGCCACTGTCATAATACGTGGAGGGAAGGATGCAGGTCTGAATGTGAACAGCCAGCACATGCCTTGGAGCCAGATGAGATTTCTGCATATATATATATATATATTGATGAAAACTCCTCTGTCTTCCACACACAGAGATGTGTGAGGGCTCTAACCCAGTGGTTCTCAAACTTTTTTATTGATAAGAAATACGCTGGAAAACAAAAGGAAACAACTCATAGCAATCTTTGATTTATAGCATAGAACACAACTACATTATTATGTGATCAGGGGACACCCAGAAAGTATCAAACAATGCAGCTGCATAAGAACATGAATCTGGACAAAAAAAAGTTGTCGGAGCCCGAGCACGATTCAGAATCACCTGAGCACAAAAAAGTAAAATTAAAAATCAACCCCCCACCAAAACCAGGCGATTGCTATAGCTTGTAAAAAATCCCCCCAGATGGGCATGTAGCCCCCCTCAAAAGAGGACATGTGCAGGATTTCCTTTTTCTTGTTTGCTTTGTTACACAAGAAAATCTTTAATAAAAGCTAATTAAAAACAAATCAAAACAAGGATTGTCCTCAGTATCACTTGATGCTCTTGCTCTCATTTTGAAAAGATATCTATCCATATTCTGCAAATAATTTTTTATATATATATACTATACTACACTACACAATATTGAAATGTTTAATTGTTTCTTTGACTGTCCTAGAATCTTCCAGGCACATGTGCCATCAAAGTATTGGTGCTGACCTTTAAAGCCCCAAATGGTCTCGGACCAGAATACCTGAAGGAGCGTCTCCACCCCCATCTTTCAGCCCAGACACCAAGATCCAGCACCAAGGGCCTTCTGGCAGTTCCTTCCATGCGAGAAGTGAGGTTACAGGGAACCAGGCAGAGAGCCTTCTCGGTGGTGGCGCCCGCCCTGTGGAACGCCCTCCCATCAGATGTCAAGAAGATAAAGAACTACACAACTTTTACAAGACATCTGAAGGCAGCCCTGTATAGGGATGTTTTACTATGTTTTTATATGTGCTGTAAGCAGCCCAGAGTGGTATTATTATTATTAGGAGAGGGGTTGGAAGATTGTATTTTGTGACAATCCTGTAAAATCCAACGTTAATATTACAAGGAACATTTCCCAATACCAGGGGGCGCCATCTAGTGGGGGCTGGGAGCCAAGGCCCATCTCCAAAATTTCCAATATCCCACAGCCTGCCAGCCCCATTGGGTCTTCCTGCAGCTAGTGGAAGGCTCCCCCAGCCTGCATGGTGTCCGGAAAAGCAGTGGGGACTAGTGTGCTTCCACTGCGTGAGGTTCCACTGGCCTGCACAGCATCTTCCGGCGCTGCGAGAAGGGGTGATGCATGTGTGAAGGGGTGTTACGCACATATCAGTACATAAGCCTAGCGCTCTTCCCTGTGAAGAGAGAGTCTGTGCTAAGCAGCCTCCTCTTTGAGCAAAGGAACTTAGTACATGTCTGTCACTCCATGCAGAGAGAGCCTTCCCCTTTGCTGAATGTGTGGCCAGTGGGAGTTAGCCTGTGAGGGCTAACACAAATGCTATAAGCCTTTTAATGCTGATTAAGCTTCAGGTTAAAATAAAATAAAAATTAATATTTTGGGGCTTTCCTTCTAAGCAACTACATACCAACAATAATATTCACAGGGGTTTCCTTCAACCAGGGGTGGCGA